CCTTCTCCTCCATTCTCCTCTCAGGATCTTGGGCACGCACGCACACGCGCCCGGCGTGAGTTTTAAGCCACCGGGTCCGAGACACGAACCGCGGTCGACTACGTGGGAGTCCAGCGACATAGCCATTACGCTAACTGCTGGTTCCCTATAAATAATTCTTTAAAAAAGAAAAAAGTCAATGTATAGAGAGGGCCTAGGACAGGGCTTGGTACATAGAAAGCACACAGTAATTGGGCCAATCAGTGGTGTGGTGATTAAGACAACTGGATACCACATGGCTAACTGCATGGTTCGAGTCCTGGAGCTGGCAGCTTGAAAGTCATGCTGGGCATGTGTGTGCCTCTTTCAAATTCTGAGAGGAGAAAGGAGAACGACTGTGGCATGGCCACCCCCCAGGGGGAGGGCGATTTCTCACTTGCCTTCTCTCCAATGTGTGCACATGCCCTCTACCAATTTTTTTTTTTTTTGAGAGGTTTTTGCTATAGGGTGCGTGCATTTGCCAGACAGACAGAGAGACAGGGAGACAGAAAGTGAGAAATCACCCCCCAGGGGGATGGCCATGCCGTAATCCTTTCTCCTCCATTCTCCTCATGGGATCTTGAGCATGCACGCACATGGGCCCGGCATGAGTTTAAGCTACCGAGTCCGGAACTCGAACCACGGTCGACTACATGGGAGTCCAGCGACACAGCCATTACGCCAACTGCTGGTCCCCAAATTCTTAAAAAAAATCTTAAAGAAAAGGAAGATGCTTAGTAAGTCTCCTCCTCCTCCTAATTCCCTTCTCTGTTGCTGAGGGTAGAGCTAGGAAGGAAAAAAACAAACAAAACAGAGCACAAGGTTCGGGGGGATGGCCCGGTCCACGAGGAGCCTGAGGTGCCAGCAGTGATCAGGTGAGCCTCCCATCACTGCAGGCATGCAGGACAAATGCCAAGGCACAATGCAGGGACTGGAGGGACCCTGCGGTGAAGGTGCTCCCGGGCTGGCAGGGATGCCTACCTCCTTCTCCAGTGCCTCATGGCTGTCACCTGGGGGCCCCCGGCGCTCCCCCCGGCTTTGGTTGAGCAGGGCCGTGAGCGGCACCCGCTTGTTCTCCCGCAGGGGCAGCTTCTCCAGCTCCTGCCACTTCTTCTCGATCTCCTCGCTGAGCCTGCTCTGCTGGTCCTCGGTCAGGGGGGCCCCCAGGCCCCGGCGCGGCCCGTCTCCAGCAGACGTCTCTGGGGACCTGCTGTCTGTGGCCTCAAACCACTTGCGCCGTTCCTCAGAGCGCTGGGCCAAGTCCCGCTCCAGCTCCTCCTGCTTGGCTGGGCGGTCAGGGGTGCGGGCCGGGGTGCGGGCCCGCTGTGGGGAGCCCTGACTCAGTGGGGAGAGCTCCACGTAGTCCAGAGACTGCCGCTGCCCGTCCGCCTTCCGGGGACCACCCCGGCCGATGACCTCAGAGCCTGCCCGCTGCTCCCCCACTTTCAGGGAGCCCTTCTGGGTGCCGAAGCTGTGCAGTGCATTCTCCTTGTTGCAGTCGGAGAGCCTAGAGCACAAGCAGAGCCACGTCAGGGGCCCTGCCTGCTCGGTGCCACCCTGTGCCAGGTCCTGTACCAGGGGCTGGGGACCAACCTCAGGGAAGGAAGCAGCTCATCCTCAAGGCTAGGAACTGGAGCTTCACTGTTAGCGGACCCAAGGGACATCCCAGAGCCAGCACTGAGCAGCACAGGGACCAGGGTGCCTGGCTTCTCTTCCCCACTCTGGCCCTCAGCTCCTCCTCTGTTACGTGGACAACACTGCTCACGATGGATGTGAGGAGGAGACGCACGCAAGACAACCAGGAAGCCCTTTGCAAATGGTGATCAGTGAATTACGACAGAGTATGAAACAGGCCCATGATACTGGAACCATATGGGAAGGCCCAGGGTTCGAATCCCAGGTCAACCTGAACATGCTGGCTACACCCACAGGTACACTCATGAGCCTGGCTGGCTACAGGGCATGGGCTTGGGAGGGGTCATGGCATGGGGGTACCTCTCTCTCTCATATAAGAAACAAACTTAAAAAAATAAAGAAGTACAAGAACCAGCCCTGTAGCCCAGTAGGTAAGAGAAGCTGGATCCCACATGGACAACCACAGTTTGAATCCTGGTCAGAATGGCTTAACAACCACAGTGAGTGTTGGGGCCGATAGGTGGTATAGTGGTTAAGGGCACTGTACTCCCACATGGCCGACTGTGGTTCGAGTCCCAACCTGGCGGCTTGCTATCTCACTTTCCTTCTTTCTCTCTCTCACTTGCTCGCTTGCTCACTTACCCTGTCCCTCTCTGGTCAAGTTAAAATAAGTAAATAAATAAAGTTAGATAAAATAAAATAATTCTTTTAAAAAAATAAAACACACACTGAGCACACATGAGCATGTGTCCCAAAACCCTGACAGGATAGAGAAATGGAGGAGAAAAAATGGAACATGACACGTTCCATTGGGGGTGCTTTCTCCCTCTCCCTCTCTCTATGGGAAACGCAAACTCCCTCTGGCAATTAAAAAAAAAGTATGAAAAAAAAAAGTATGAAACAAAACAAGGAATGAGACCAGGGGCTGAAGGCTCAGGGTGGGTACTGGAATGAATGCACAGGGGCACCAGCAACACGGTGAAGACAGTGGCTGTGGATGCACAGGACACGGCTCTGAACGGCTGTGGAGGGTCTCTGCTCCCACAGGAGGGATGTCATCACCCAGCCAAAACGGACCCTTCTTAGTGTCCCCTGCAGCCATCCTTCCTGTGCAGGTGAGAGGTGGCTTCCTTTCAGGTGCTGGTGAGCCCTTGCCTGGCTCCTGGCTAGGCCTCCCTGAAAGCCTAAGCAGTTGCCTCTGACCTAGAGGTCAAGTTATGAGCCGAGGGCCGCAGAGCTGTCCCGACAGGCCGGGCTAACCACCTCTCACTATTCTGGAAAAGGAAGTAAACATCTGTTTTGCCCAAGCCACTGTTTGGAGTTTCGGGCTGCAACAGCCAGCCCCACAGCACATCAGGGTGCACCGAGGCTCCAGGTGCACCCACATACGTGTCAGACAGGACGGTGCAACATGACAGGTGAGCAATCTGAGCTCAAGATAGAAAGTCACTGGCCTAAGGCGGCGGAATAGCCAGGGAGAGGCCAGGCTGGGGAGGCCGTACTCGGCCCTGGTAAATACCAGACTGCTCCTGCTGGTCAGCCCCCGTGGGCATCGAAGGGTAATATCATGGCCCTCCTGCCCCTCTACCCATGCAGCCTCCAGAGGGAGTGAGTGCCCTACCCAGGAGGGGATGCACAGACACTAGAGAACATAGCTACCCCCCACACACCTAACACAAGCTTAGACATGGCATAGAGAAAGCAGAGCCACCTGGCTGGGCCTCAGACCCACGTGCATCTTCTGCTAAGAGGCCAGGCCCCTTCTGCTCCTTGAGGACATGGCAGGGAGGGCTCTAAGGAATGGCAGGTCAAGCCTCAAACCTGCAATGTACTTCGGGATGGATGCCAAAGCTCACTGCCCTCGCTCCATTTGCTGACAGAGAAACTTAGGCCCAGAAGGTCCAACCACATTGCCCTCCGGGGAATACAGAACCCCACTTAGGGAGGCAGGGGTCTCCCTGAGTCCCTGGCCCAGCCCAGCACATACTTGGTGACATCTGGGGCTGAAGTTGGACGCACAGTCTTCCTCAGAGCCTCGATCCAGTTCCGCCGGATGCCTGAGGTCATGGCCGACAAGGTATAGACAGCATCCTTGGTCTGCAAGTCCACCCCAGGGGTAGGTTGTCAAGTGGCCAGTGCTATGGCTCCCTCCCTGCTGTGGACCCCAGGGAGGGTGGCTTTTCCTTCCTTCCCAGGTGGGTCCTAAGGTCTTGAGAATAGAGCAAGCAAAGGGTACGAAACTTGCCCTCTACCAGCCCGGGAAGTGACCTGCTGGCTCCGAGACCTCCCAGATACGCTGTGCTGGCACCTGCGCTTCTGCTGGTCCTGAGGACAGGGTCTCAGGTAAACAAGCGACAGGAGCCAGTCTTGACATGGAGCAATATTCAACATGGACACCTCCCGGGGGCTGCCGGTCATGCCGCCCACCCCCGCCCAGCCGCACGCAGCCTCACGTGGATCTGGAAGCCGTAGTTGCGCTGCACCGCATACTCCGTGACATCCGTGCAGGAGCGCAGGTCGATCTCGCCGTCCAGCTCATCTGCCTGGAGCGGGAGGACCCACACTGTCCACCTGGGCCCTGGGGAGAACCACTCACCCACCCAGTCAGGCCACCAGGCCACGGGCACCCAGTGGGGAGAGGAAGCCCTCCTGCCGATGCCTCACCTCCTCGGCAGTGGAGTCTCTGTAATACTTGAGGCTGGAATCCGTCAACACAAACCAGTGCTTCTTCCACTGGGAAAGAGAGGTGGTGGTGAGCGAGGGGAGAGGCAGCGGAGGGCAGGATGGAAGCCTGTGTGCGGTTCTGCGGGTGTCCTGGCAGCTGCTGGGGCAAGCATTTAGCACACAGCAGGACGTAGATCCAAACATGGCCCCTCCGTCCCCTCCCCAGGCTGTGGGGTGAGCACCTGTGAAACGGGCTGGCAGCTCCTCCTCAGCACACCCTTCCTCTCCCTCCTCAGAGTCCTCTACCCACTGTGCCCTCAGGCAGCTCCTGAAGGCGGCCAGTGTGGATCAGGAGGGCTGTGACCTCGCAAGGTCTCTTGCCCAGCAAGTCAGGGACTAAATGGGCCAGAGCGTCGGAGTCCTTTCCTTACGCCCTCTGATGACCACAGTGGCCAGGGCCAGAGGTGCCCTGGAGTAGGCAGGAAGCTGGGGCTGGCTCCAGAGCTCGGGGTAGAGCCTATTTCTTGGTCTGTGTGCTGGTGACCCGCGTACTCAGCGTGAAGGTGCGCTCATCTGCACACCTGACTTACAACTTGGGCACCTTCAGCTCCACCCTAGCTTCAGCTCCACCCTAGCTCAGGCTGGTAGGACACATGGGGCAGGCGGGGGGCACCAGACAGTCTGATATTTTTTGTTTGTTCATTTTAGTTTTATGCCATAGGGTGCATGCACTCACCAGAGACAGAGGAAAAGTGAGAAATCACCCCCGGGGTGGTGGCCATGCTGCAATCCCTTCTCCTCCATTCTCATCTAGGGATTTGGGGCACGCACACGTGCCTGGAGTGATTTTTCAAGTCTCCTGGTCCGAGACTCAAACCGTGTGGTCATCCATGTGGGAGTCCAGTATCTGAACCACTATGTCACCTGCTGGCCCCACGACAGCGTGATAATACACACGCCAGGCTCAGCCCACCTCTGGCTTCTGGCCTCTGTGCTGGAGTGCCAGCCAAGGTCCTCACACCGGCAGGGCCCGTGCACGTTGCCCGTTGCCCGTCGCCCATCGCCGGTCCTCCTAGCTTCCTCCACAGCTCCAAGCTCTGCCCGTGCTATTTGCTGCTTCCAGTACTTGGTTCTCTTTCCTCAGGAAGATGGTCAGTTTTCAAGGGTACACTTCTTTTCTCCTGCCCCCCGGGGAACAGTTTTAGCATCTGAGGGCTAGGTCGGGACTGTTCCCTGCTAGCTGTGTGCCTTTAGGAAAGTGTCTCCACTTCTTCGAGTGCGTCTTCTCACCTGTCGAGCAGGGCTGCTAACAAGTCCCTAAGCCTCCCTAGTACATCTTTCACGGCACTTGCATAGGGACAGGCATCAATAGTTGGGGACTGTTCTAGAAGACTGGCGCTCCTAGTGCCATTCTGCTCTTACTCGGGGGACTGAGCTCAGGACCCCACTGCCTCTCAGTGAGCTAGGGCAAACACTGACAATGTGTTTGGCCCTTCCAGGCCTGGTCTCTGACTGTCTGAGATGGGAGCTGGATGGTGCTCTGGGGGCCTCAGGCACCCCAAGGTCTAGGCCTGGATCTGCCCAGGTACTGCCAGGCCTGGGATTAATCGCCACCTCGTGGGCCCGTCCCCTGCCTGTTGAGCGGGGGGAGAGGCAGCGGAGGGCAGGATGGAAGCCTGTGTGCGGTTCTGCGGGTGTCCTGGCAGCTGCTGGGGCAAGCATTTAGCACACAGCAGGACGTAGATCCAAACATGGCCCCTCCGTCCCCTCCCCAGGCTGTGGGGTGAGCACCTGTGAAACGGGCTGGCAGCTCCTCCTCAGCACACCCTTCCTCTCCCTCCTCAGAGTCCTCTACCCACTGTGCCCTCAGGCAGCTCCTGAAGGCGGCCAGTGTGGATCAGGAGGGCTGTGACCTCGCAAGGTCTCTTGCCCAGCAAGTCAGGGACTAAATGGGCCAGAGCGTCGGAGTCCTTTCCTTACGCCCTCTGATGACCACAGTGGCCAGGGCCAGAGGTGCCCTGGAGTAGGCAGGAAGCTGGGGCTGGCTCCAGAGCTCGGGGTAGAGCCTATTTCTTGGTCTGTGTGCTGGTGACCCGCGTACTCAGCGTGAAGGTGCGCTCATCTGCACACCTGACTTACAACTTGGGCACCTTCAGCTCCACCCTAGCTTCAGCTCCACCCTAGCTCAGGCTGGTAGGACACATGGGGCAGGCGGGGGGCACCAGACAGTCTGATATTTTTTGTTTGTTCATTTTAGTTTTATGCCATAGGGTGCATGCACTCACCAGAGACAGAGGAAAAGTGAGAAATCACCCCCGGGGTGGTGGCCATGCTGCAATCCCTTCTCCTCCATTCTCATCTAGGGATTTGGGGCACGCACACGTGCCTGGAGTGATTTTTCAAGTCACCTGGTCCGAGACTCAAACCGTGTGGTCATCCATGTGGGAGTCCAGTATCTGAACCACTATGTCACCTGCTGGCCCCACGACAGCGTGATAATACACACGCCAGGCTCAGCCCACCTCTGGCTTCTGGCCTCTGTGCTGGAGTGCCAGCCAAGGTCCTCACACCGGCAGGGCCCGTGCACGTTGCCCGTTGCCCGTCGCCCATCGCCGGTCCTCCTAGCTTCCTCCACAGCTCCAAGCTCTGCCCGTGCTATTTGCTGCTTCCAGTACTTGGTTCTCTTTCCTCAGGAAGATGGTCAGTTTTCAAGGGTACACTTCTTTTCTCCTGCCCCCCGGGGAACAGTTTTAGCATCTGAGGGCTAGGTCGGGACTGTTCCCTGCTAGCTGTGTGCCTTTAGGAAAGTGTCTCCACTTCTTCGAGTGCGTCTTCTCACCTGTCGAGCAGGGCTGCTAACAAGTCCCTAAGCCTCCCTAGTACATCTTTCACGGCACTTGCATAGGGACAGGCATCAATAGTTGGGGACTGTTCTAGAAGACTGGCGCTCCTAGTGCCATTCTGCTCTTACTCGGGGGACTGAGCTCAGGACCCCACTGCCTCTCAGTGAGCTAGGGCAAACACTGACAATGTGTTTGGCCCTTCCAGGCCTGGTCTCTGACTGTCTGAGATGGGAGCTGGATGGTGCTCTGGGGGCCTCAGGCACCCCAAGGTCTAGGCCTGGATCTGCCCAGGTACTGCCAGGCCTGGGATTAATCGCCACCTCGTGGGCCCGTCCCCTGCCTGTGCACCCAGGGCTGGGCTGGCTGAGCTCCCAGGGCCCCTCCAGCTTGGACATTCCAAACCCCTGTGAAAAAGGATGAGCAACAGCCAGTTCTGGGTGGGGCCCACAATCCCTCTGCCCTCCGGGGACCCTGGGTGGGGAGGCTGGGAAGGGGTCACTGGCAGGGCGCCAGGCCTTGTGTCAGCCTGGAGAGCAGCCACGAGGGGACAGGCGGGGACGCTGCAAGGATGGGAGGGCACAGCCGG